TACATCTTTGTGGTATCTTTGTCTGGTTTTGGTATCAGGGTAATTAATGCTGACATCATCAAATAAGATTGGATGCAATCCTGCCTCTTCAACGTTTTTGGAAGAGTTTGAGAGGAACAGATATTAAATCTTATCTGAATGTTGGGTAGAATTCACAAGTAAAGCCACCTGGTTCTGGACTTTCATTTGTTGGTAGGTTTTTTTGGGGTTTTTTTATTGATTTAATCTCCTTTCTAGTAATCAGTCTATTCAGACTTTTCTTTTATTCATGATTTAGTCTTGGAAGATTGTATGTTTCTAGGAATTTATCCATTTCTTCTAGGTTGTCCAATCTGTTGGTATATAATTGTTCATATAGTCTCTTAGGATCCTTTGTATTTCTTTGGTATCAGTTGCCACTTCTCTTTCTTCAATGCTGATTTTATTTATTTGAGCCCCCTTTTGTCCTGAGTCTAGCTAAAGGTCTTTTTATCTTTTCAAAAAATCTGTTCCTAGTTTAATCAATCTTTTCTGTTGTCTTTTTTGTCTTTATTTCATTTATTCCAACTCTGATACTTATTAGCCCCATCCTTCTACTAAACTTGGGGCTTTATTTATTCTTTTTCTAGTTCCTTTAGGTGTAAAGTCAGATTGAGAATTTTTCTTGTTTTCTGAGGTAGGTTTATATCGCTATAAACTTCCCTCTTAGAACTACTTTTGCTGCACCCCATAGATTTTGTTATGTTGTATTCCCATTTTCATTTGCCTCAAGGTAGTTTCTAAGTTTCTCCTTTGATTTCTTTGTTGATCCATTGGTTGTTCAGTAGTGTGTTGTTTAATCTCCATATATTTGTGATTTTCCAGTTTTATTCTGGTAATTGATTTCTAGTTTCACATCACTGTGGTCATATAAGATGCTTGATATGATTTCAATCTTCTTAAGTTTATTTAGACTTGTTTCGTGACTTAATATGTATATAATCTATCCTAGAGGATGTTCCATGTGCACTCAAGAAAAATGTGTATTCTGCTGCCGCTTTCAGAACGAATGCTATGTATACATCTATTAAATCCATCTGGTCTGTTGTTTAAAGCAGAATGTTTTCTTATTGATCGTCTCAGAAAATCATCAACATCATTGATGCAAGTGGTATATTGATGTTCACTAGTATGATTTTATTGCTGTCCATTGCTCCCTTTAGGTCTGCTGAAATTTGCCTTATATACTTAGTTGCTTCTATATTGGGTGCATAAATATTCTAAAATGTTATAGCTTCTTGATGGATTGATATCTTTGTAATTACTATGTACAGGCAAAATTTCATTTACTATTCAAGACAGCTTTCTGAGAGAAACAATATTATCCCCCCTTCACAGCCGAGGAAACGGAGGCAAGGGGAAATTGAATGATTTGCTCTAAGTCATTAAACCAATGCCAGTGTTCTTACCACTGCTCTAAACTATTTATTCTATAGACTTTTCACAACAACTGAAGACAATGTATATAAAGCACCTGTAATCGGACATAGTCTAAAACATGTCCTCAACGAATTTTAGCTAATAACTATTAATTAATAAACAACAGATAAGTAACAACAATGCTTAGTTTGATGGACTGATCTATAAGGTTGTGTTTCTTGTTCAGTTTTCAGTATCATATTGTTGGATATGCACCTCTTGCAAATAGATTTGCAAGTACTGACTGAGCACCTATGTTGTGGCAGGCATTTTACTCCCCGCGGTGGGCCTGGTGCTATGTGAAATAGAATCTGTGGTGTTAATTACTATGAGCCTTTCCCTTTTGCCTTTTTCTAAGGTTATTATTTTTTTTTTTTTTTTGCGAACTTTGCAAATACCCATGAATCATTTCCATTTTCATTCTACCTGCATATAAGTAAGCCTTCTCAGGAGCTTTGCATTTCTAGATTTCATTCTGGGCTCTTTAGATCAAAGCACTCATATCTCTCCTATCCTATTTTGAGGTCTGTCTTTATGTCTAGGATCCTAGCCTATGATTTTAAAACAATAACCAAAACCAAACAAATCTCTCTGAGACACCATTATTATAGCTAATTGCTATCATGTATTTTTTCCCAGTTTCTCCAGCAGCTTCTCTCATGTCAGATAGATCCCAAAAGCTAAATCTGGTAGGCTAAGTATCATATTAAGCTGATACTGAATAACACCTCTTACCCCCTTTGTTATTCCATTGCCAATTATGCAGTCCATAAGGGATTCTGTCATATGAGGGTCTGTTACCCAGAGATCACGTACATGTAGCAGCTGTTTATTTGCAAATACAGAATGGGATGAACACATGGTTCAGAAAGATGGTTTTTTAATGTTGGTATCTTCTCATTTACATTAGATTATCCACAATTCTTTTTCCCTTTTCCAATTCTGAATATATGGTAAATAGTCTCTCTTTTTTTTTTCTCACTAAACTCCACTGAAATAGAAATGACTGGAATGTCACCAAGTGTCTCCAATAGCTAAGGCATCACAACCTCAAAATAGCTCAAGCTTTAAATAGTGATACTGATCACATTGATCATAAAAATAGTGGCAAAATGAGCAGGTATAAGTTATTACTATGTACCATGCACTTCCCTGGGGACCTTACATATGTGTGTCACTTACTATTCATAATAACCCCATAACATAGGTAGGTGCTATTATCTCTATTCTGTAGGTGAGAAAGCAGAGGGTGAAGAGTTTGTTGCTTACCCAAAGCCATAATGCTACTAGGTGCCAGAGCTGTGACTTAAACCCAGACTGTCCTGTCTCTGTTTCCCCTCACTTTACACTGAGAATTAGGGAGAAGAGCAAAGCAGGATGAAAGGCAGGGGAAAGAGTAGACAGAGAGGCAGGAGATGGGTAATGGAGAAAAATGTCATTAATCGTCGTTAATTTGTTAAATGAACATCCACGGAGTCCCCAGGACTGGCTGGGCGTGGTATCTACACCTAAGCCAAGTTCCTTGTCCAAGAGAGGCAAGTTTGGCTTAGAGAAGTAGAATCGCCAACAAACAACTGTAGTCCTCACAAAAGGGAATAAGCAATACAAGCCAAAGTGTGCAGAGCACAGAGAGAGAGATTGGGGGCCTGCAAGGGGGAGCTGGGGAAGGCTTTTCAGATAAGGTGCCTTCTGAGCAGGAATGACATCAATACAGGAGAGTGTGCAAGCTGGCTAAGCACGGAAAGGGCAGAACAGGTGGAAGTCAAAGCAAGGACGCCACCACAGAAGGGTGACAGATGGAGCGATGCTCAGAGAATCCCTGGTGCTTGGGAGGGCTACAGAAGAGGACGCGTGGTGAATATGTGGGAATAAGAGCGGAAGGGCAGGAGGCTTTGAGAGCACATTAGGAGAGGGAGCAAGGAGGCAGATGAAAAAAACAGGGGACCGAACAGGACCACACCGGGCTTTTAGATCAAAGCACTCCCATCTCTCTTGATCTATCCTATTTTGACCGAGTGACCATTCTTCATAGCAGAACATATGAGGTTATCATAAACTACAGTAAATCGTGAACTGGTTTTTCAGGTGCTTTTTATTATGACTACAGATTATGACAGCAAGCCACCAAAAGAGGTGAGTTGTAATGGAGAGAAGAGTGGTATATACAAAGGTAATAAGGACCCTCCATGAGAGCCGGGGGGCCAAGGAAAGGAAGGTGTAGCCTGAGAAAACTAGGAGCCTGGGTAGAGAGAGAGAAAAGGCATATCTGAACTAGAAATGGCTGCTAATATATGAGGCAACTAGCGTGGAGCCATAGGGACTATTCAGTCGTGCTTCAGGCATCACTGGGTTTGGACGTCAGGCATAAGGCCAACAAGTGGGATGAGAAGACAAGATAACAGCATCGTTACATCCGTCTTAAAAATCAATCAAGTGATTCAGGTGGAAAAAAGCCCCTCTGAATTGATAATATATTAACCAGTGCACCCTAATTTGAGAAAACATTCTAATGGACAGGCCCAATGAAATATCCGGGTTGGGGAACAGACCCTCATATGACAGCAACTCCTGGGGTTAATATCTTTTCTGTTGTGTGAAAAGCTATCCAGTGCAATCAAGCTTTTCTTGATCTGGCTGCTTAAGGGCTAACTAGACCACAACAAATGTTTTTAAAGTGTCAGACCTGGACTCTGCCTGTAATCCTTCCCCACAGATAAGAAATCGGATTTCAAGAAAAGGAAAGGACTTTTTGTATCCTAAATTTGTCACAAAGTCTTGTCAAGAATATAGCTCTATACTAGTACTATACTGTACTTGTATTACAGCAGCAAAATAAACTCAATAAGCTCTAATTTGGCATTCCATGGAACAAAATTTGCAGTGGGATGAGTCAAAGGATATTGCTTATGACAGCTTATAATCGGACTTTGTGCAAGCATCATTTAAATCGTAGTTCCTCTGACAGAACAATCTTTTTATACTAGTTTCAACCTACTGCTCCATCCCTATAGATTATTACTTCTAGTGCATATAATTCAAATGCAAGAGCTATGGCCAAGAGCCATGGAGTGGAGGTCAGTCTGGCAATGCAGGCTTGTAGGTAACTAGCTTAGAGCACAACAGCAGCCCCCAAGGCCACTATGAAGTTTGGTGTGGACAGCCAAGATTTTGGTGCCACACAGACCCAAGTTCAAGTCTCAGATCTATATCTTGTTAACTCTAAGAAATAACTCAAAGCACTTGGCCCAAGGCCTGGCACATAGTAGACACTCAATGATTAGAAGCTGTTATTACTTTAAAATTAAAGCATAAAAGGGAAAAGCCAGAGCTATGACAGCTCCTCACTTCAAGGCATAAATTCCATCTTCCTGTCAAATGTACGTATCTCTTTCAGCTTCCCATGAATATCTGGAGCCATAAACCTGCCTAAAATTCTTAGTACAAGAGGCTGACGTTTTATGTACCATTTTCTTGGGTTCTCCTCTCTTTTCCATATTATTCTTTATAAGGTGATCTAAAAGGCAAGAGATTAATAAATAGAAACTGCAGATTTTTGGTCTTACCATTTTTATCTGCTCTCCTCAGTATCTGAAAAAGAAAAAGAAAAAAAATTATGACCATTTTTGCAATTGCAGTGAACATCATATTCATACATAATTCACCCACCATTAAATAAAAGAAATTCCAATTTTAAATAAAGGTTTCCTAATTGAGAAGTTTCTTTATAGTAGTCAAAAACTGAAAACAACCCAATGCCTTTGTACAAAATAAATCTGTGGCACATCCACTCGACGAGTACTATTGGGCAATAAAGAGGAAAGGGTTCTTGAATACACACAATAACTCAGACGGATCACAAAGTGATCATGTTGAGTAAAACCCTAGGACAAAAAAGAATACCTGCTATATGATTCCATTTATACAAAACTCTAGAAAATGCAAACTAATCTATAGTGACAGAAAGAAGATTAAGAGTTGCATACAAATGAGCAGGGAGGGTATTATAAAAGGACATGGGAAAAGTTTTTGGAGTGGTAGGTATATTTATTGTCTTGACTATCATAATGGTTTCACAGGTATGTACATATGTAAAAACTTATCAACTTTTCACTTTAAATGGGCGCAATTTAATGTAAGTCAATTGTATCTCAATAAATGGGAATCCATGGAAACAAAAAAATTATAAATCATGGATAAACAGAGCTCATGTGTCTATATTGTATCTGACTTTACTTCTACACATTAATTATATTATCTTTGGTGGATAAGAACTGCTTGGCCATCAGGTATCTTAAGTCATGATTTCAAAATTTGCTTCTGGGAAATCTATCTTTTCTCTACTCTCGAGGATTGGGCAGAGCCTTCAGGCCTGGCAAACAGGGTGTCACATCACTCAGTCCACAGTGACTACTCAGGCATGAGCACAGTAAGGTCATGGTTTTGCTTGACTTATCATAAGAGACACGCTTTCTCTTCTGCTGACTCTGAACTTGGGAAGATATAGGTAAGAAGCTGCTGTCCACCCTTCTATCGTTATATACGTCATGGGTTGAACTGTGGGCCTCAAAACAAACACTGAAGTTCTAACCTCCAGTAACTGTGAAGGTGACCTTGTTTGAAAGTAGTCTTTGCTGATCTAATCAAATTAATATAAGATCTTACTGGGGCTCCTGGGTGGCACAGTTGGTTAAGCGTCCAACTTGGGCTCACATCATGATCTCACGGTTTGGGAGTTGGAGCCCCACGTCGGGCTCTGTGCTGACAGTGCAGAGCCTGCTTGGGATTTTTCTCTCTCGTCTCTCTCTGCCTCTATCTCTGTCTCTCAAAATAAATAAATAAACTTTAAAAAAAGAAGGTAAGATCTTCCTGGATTGGAGTGGGCCCTACATCCAAAGACTGGTGACGTTCTAAGGAGAGAGAGATTCAGAGATGCAGAGACAGAGGGGAGACCACATGGTAATGGAGGCAGATACTGGTGTGGTACAGCTGCAAGCCAAAGAATGTACAGGAATCTGACCCTGGAAGCTAGGAGACACACATTGAGCAGACTCTCCCCTAGAGCCTTCAGAGGGAAAGGTCCTCCCCATACCTTGATATCATCGACCCAGCCTCCAGAAGTGAGAAAACAAATGCGGTTGTTTAAGCCACGTGTGTGTGCAGTATACTGTCATAGAAGCCACAGAAAATCTATACAACCTAGAACTGGACATAACCAGTCCTCAAGACAGCAGTGTCCATCCAGAGACTGAAAGAAAGCGGATCCTGATGACACTGTCTGAGCTCCTGATCAAGCCATTTTTACGAGAGTCTCCACTTCTCAGTGCAGGAGCCAATAAATTATTGTTTTAAATCTTAAGATACTTTAGGTTATTTTTTTTTTCTGTTAGCAACAATCAAATCAGCCCTAGCTGGCACTGTCTACTAAGGGGAAAACAATCCAGGTAATATAGCACACCACAGCTATGTTATATATACTACCAGAGAAAATGTCCCTTTATCATATTGCAAAGGTACCCTTGAATCACATGAAAGGGGCATTCGAGGATCATTTTTCTGAGCAACAGACAGTTATGTGAAGTAACCAGAGCCACTCGTACATTTAGGTCATCACTTCTTGGTGGGCAGCTTGAAAGATTAGCAATAGTTTTGATTACCAAAGTTTTCGGTTTTCCTGTTTTCTGCTACAGAAGTATCCTCCTTTCCTTCTGTTGACTTCATGAAGATGAAGTATGGCTAAATCTAATCATTTTATATTCTTATAATAGTTTAATATTATTACCCAAAATCTCACTTATGAAAAATTTCCAACAACAGATATGTATCCCCCCTGACTTGTGTGCATAAGAAATTGATCCCCCTTTATAAACTAAGTTTATTTAACGACTGCAAGAAAGCTGCTTGTAGTAGTAAGAACTTCTGTGCTTAGAGCAGAATGGGACACAAAGTCTTTTTACTCCACGGAGCTAATTTCTAGTGGGGATTTGGGGAATCCACCTCTCCATCATAACCAGCTTCCTCCCCCTCCCTGAAACTATGAAGCCCCAGCGGAGAGTCAGGGAGACACGAAACACAGCCTAATTCTTACCTTTACTATGCTCGAAGATTCTATTTCAAGCTCTATTGTGTCCTTAAGAGTTCGAAGTAACTAGAACAGGAATAACCACATACCAGAGAGTTGGACCCAGGACGTCCATCATTTCATTTCAGAAAGCAGTATCTTAAATAGCATTCAGCCTCTTAGCAATGAAATTAAGACAGTGGCTTTATTAAGACAGTTCTTTGTAATGAAATATGAACAGAACGGTCTCTGCTGCAAATTTTGCCTCTGAGCCCACAGACTAATAAAAAAATGTACTGCAGGGGCACCTGGGTGGCTCAGTGAGTTAGGTGTCGACTTCAGCTCAGGTGATGATCTCACAGTTGGTGGGTTCGAGCCCCACATCAGGATCTGTGCTGATAGCTCAGAGCCTGGAGCCTGCTTCTGATTCTGTGTCTCCCTCTCTCTCTGCCCCTTCCCTACTTGCACTCTCTTTCTCTCGCTCTCTCTCAAAAATACATAAACATTAAAGAAATTTTTTTTTTAATGTACTGTAGATGAAAACTGGGTTCATTACACTATGCTACCATAGCAATCTGGATGGGCTAATCTTACCAGTTGCTACCACAAGATACATGGTAAATAGATGCAAATATTAGGGTCAGAATTAAAACTCAAATGTAGGCCATGCTGTGTTTTTGCAACAATCTACGGATTATCAAACAGCATCCTTTACCCTAAAGGCTATTCTTTGAGGGCCTTCATTAAAATGTCTCATTTCTCACCCGAGGCTATTCAAGGCAGGTGTTAAGATGCAAATATTGTCGTCAAGGCCTATTTGTCACTATTTACTGAACTAATATCTGCTAAGTGCTTTCTACTGTGTCCCAGGTCAAAATTAGGTAATGAGATAAGCCAGGAAGACTCCTGAGAGATGAGGATATAGGGCAAGGAATTTGGTTCTCATCCAGAACACGGGGTACCATCCAGAAGGGAAGACCTACCAGGTAAATCACAGCCTGTGGACCTGGACCTCCAGAAGGAAGGACCTCCACGAAATAGGATGCAGGGAAGTGGCCACGGAATGGATGGAGCAAAAGTAATCAGCACAAACATTTTTATCGTCTCAGTTGTGCCTGGAGTAGGGCTTGTGTGAGAAAACAGGTTTAAATGTATGGTAACACTAAAGCGAAGCTTCCCTTACTTCTGCAGCCTCTTAAACCTCGGGGAGTGATATCTGCCTTGCCAATTAGGGTTAACTGCCATCCTCCCAACGGAACAACCGCACTCAAATTATCCAGGGTGCGCTAGACAAGATAGGAGGTATATGGCTCTAACAGAATTCGGTCACAGAACCATTATACCTGAAAAACTGTTTCTGCTCTGACAGTCCTCCGTCCATCTCACCTCTTAGACAGATATTCCCATCCATGTGTAGAGACAGGGCTTCAGGATTAAGTAGCTTTGCAAAAGAAGACTCTTCCTTATTTTCACCAAGTCCCTGACCAGCCAGGCACTGTGCATTTTGTTCAGTGGGCGTGAGTGCGCATGCCTGGCCGGGGGAAGGAAGGGAAGACAAACAGGAAGATCATCTCTCTCCCTCACAGCCTTCCAGGCCCCACTTCTGCCCCTAGCGACATGAGGAAGGGCCACTTCCTTTCCAGCTAAAAAGCAAACAAAACTGTTGGGGAGAAGGCAGTGGCATCAAGCAGTGGAATTATAACTAACTTCACTTCGGATTTATCTTGCTTCAGGGGATGATGTGAAAGGCTTGATTTTCTCCCTTTGCACAGTAGTGGAGTCGATTAATAGAATGATTCCAAAGAGGGACCACATGCTTTATGGACTAGTATTCTACATCAGAGTTTATTCCCTGTCAGCTGGAATGAAATAACCTGGGGACGGACAGCATTGCAGGTGTTAAGAAGGAAAAGAACTGTCCTCCTCCTGGTCCTCCCATGTTGCTATGCACGGAACCCAGTGAAGCCACTCTCCTGTGGGTGGCAGGGGGGCACAGCACAGATGCCTTGGCACCAGCCCTGGGTTTCCTAAGCCCCCCAGTGGGCACTCAAGAGTATTTATGATGAATATATATAATGTATATATAACGTATATATTCTGCCATTTTTTAGACAGAATCGAATAAAATCAATTAGATTTCTAATGAAACAGTCTCTGTATTCATCTGTGGATTTGGCAACTGTGATCCAGGCATTCAATAGGGAACAATGATCTAGCAATAATGGTGCAAATTTATATAGCACACTTCCTTTATCTGTTTTCAGTTTTCTTATCCTATGCACTTGCACTGAAGGAAACAACTTCTAGAATTAAGCGGCATACTCATCATGATTGCTGATTTGGACATGAGGGAAATGAAGCAAAAGCCAAATCGGTATGGCAAATCCCTCTCTGGTTTTCTGATCTGCGGCTAGTTTCTTACCAGCTGGATATATCTAGTCATGTCAGCAACGGTAGCCTCAAAATCACTCAGAGGACTCGTTAGTACAGTGGCCTTGGAAGACAAACACTAAAAATCAAAGTTTTCCTCAAATTCAGAAATCAGTCCAGGTGACGCAGGTGACTCTGACGGGTTTCATTCCTGTTCCTCTTTGGAGTCAGGGAATCTCTATTACCGACTTATGATCTGCATAGAATTCAAAAAGCAATCTTTCTTAGCAGTGCTACTGGAACACATGAAAACAAATCGAGTAAATTATGTATTTATATTTCACATTTTATTTTTGCTAAAAGCAATATGATCCAGAAATGAATAATTCAAAAATCCTTAAGTAACAAATCCTTTCTCATGTCACAGATTTCACCAGAGTGCTGGATTTTTCACAAAACATCTCAAAGAAAAAGTGTGAACAAAATCTCTTCTACTCGAGATAAAATCCAGTGGCATTTTTTTTTTTTTTTATATAGACACTGGCGTTTTCCTGACAAACAAGCATGTCAACACCTCTTGTGTGAAATCAGTTTTGTACTCTTATTTTTAAATTCTAGAAATAGATACAAGAAGGCAAGGGTATCCTATTCATAGAGCACATGTTCCTTCAGAACAGGGACCTGATGCTGTTTATTTACAGAGCTTGAGAACAATCATGTATATACAACAATAAACAAGATTTTAATTTCCTCTTTTTTCTTTTTCTTTTCTTTTCTTTTTAAGTAGCAGTTTGGACACTTGGGCCAAGATTAGTGTGTGTGTCAAAGAGGACGACTTCCATTTATACAGCTCAATCCATTCATCTCCACAGCATCGCCAGGATTTGTTAACTGCTTCAAAAAAAAGTCATAGAGAGGGGCGCCTGGGTGGCGCAGTCGGTTAAGCGTCCGACTTCAGCCAGGTCACGATCTCGCGGTCCGTGAGTTCGAGCCCCGCGTCAGGCTCTGGGCTGATGGCTCGGAGCCTGGAGCCTGTTTCCGATGCTGTGTCTCCCTCTCTCTCTGCCCCTCCCCCGTTCATGCTCTGTTTCTCTCTGTCCCAAAAATAAATAAAAAACGTTGAAAAAAAAAAAAAAGTCATAGAGAAGCACTTGATATCCTTGGGGGACCCAGTGAAGATCAGGCCAGTATGAATGGAGGGTCCCTTTGCCCTCTTCGAGTCTCTTTAATGGCAGCGTAGCCATCAACCTCCTAACAGACGTGACTTCCTGGGGCCCTGATGCTGTCCCTGAAGATCCCCTTCTCCCGTGTGCAGTGTGCCTCCTTCTCTCAGCCTGGCTTCCTCACGGGCTTGTTGGCCCTGAATGGCAGGATGTAATGAATAATTTAATGAATAATAGCAGCCAGTTGGACCACTAGCGCCAAAACATCACCTGACTGGCCAGAGCCAAGCAGAGATAAGGGCTCAGAAGAATAAGGGACTTGAACCGGAGAGAAAAAATGGGAATCAGATGGTTTTGGTGGGAAGAAGATGGCTGGCCACAGAGGCCTGGATCCCCACCTGGAACTGCACGGTGAGGAGGGGAGGAGGCTGCCAGGAGATGCAGCTGAGTCTCACCTAGGACATTTGCCTTTGACCGGATTTCATGATCAATATGGTTTTCTCTCCCAATTAAAAAATCCCAGCTAATCCATTCAAAAGACACTTGGGAGGGCTCCTCACTCTCTCCCCCTTATCTTCATGACAACCGCTTCACCATTATGATACTAATGAGTTGATTTCCTGATGGTTTCATCTCTCCACAAATAAATGTATTTTCATTTTAAATACACCTGGATTTTAGTAAGAAATGATCTCAGGGAACAGTAAAGAGCTCGCAGCACTCAATGCCTTTTGCCAGTTTTCTACCATGTCTAAATAAGTGGCCAGAATTGTCCCCACCGACTACCTCCAGGGGACAGCATATATGTAACAACGCAGAGGCTGAGGGAGCCCAAGCCGGCAGGCAACTGAGGGATAGGAAAACCACTAATCCTAACAGCAAAGAGCTGGGTGAAAAAAAAATAAAGAACAGAAACAGCAGAAAGGGGCAGAAACGCAAAATTGAGAAATAAATAAGAAACAAAACTGCTGTACAGATAAAAACCCTGGCGTGAGGGTAGAAAAAAGAAAACAAAGAAAGAGAAAGAACGATTACAGTATCAGAGAAATGAAGGAAGGGCATCAATACCGAAGGGAGGGAGAGGCCCCAAGGAAGAACATTCAAATGCTAGAATTGATGAATAGCAATGAAAACTTGGAGAGGTATAGGGAAGAAGAATAATAGGAGAAAAAAACGGAAAAATAGGAGGTGGCAGTGAAAAAAGTAACAGCATGAAAGGGATCTTGGCCACCGCTTTAAAAACGAAAAACAAGTATGTTTTCAAAGTAATTGTTCTCCGTGGGGGCTGGGGAAGGGTGGCGAGGCATCGCAATCCCTAATGCTGTCCCCGTAGCCTAAGAGCTTCAGGGAGATGGGGAACTGCAAACAGGTCACATCAGAGATGAGTTGAGTTAATGATGTTCCCTCCCTCCCTTAGCTCCTTTAAAACGCTCTATTCACCTGAATAGAGATTGTTGTAGCTACCGATCTAGTCCCCAATGAAACCCACGCCGTTGGAAAATTTAACTTCTGCCATTCATTCAGGGTTGTTAAGCCCCGAGCTGCAGGTGCAGGACAAGCCTTTTTACAAGTTGGGTGGTAGTCATTCTCCCGCATTTTCCTCGGTGCATTTCCAGGGGGACAGGGGAGCGAGGTAGGAGGTAGTTCTCGCTGGTGTTCGGGGTGGGGGGGTACAACACTGCTGATCAGCGCCTGGACCCGACCCACCCTCACTCGGGGAAGGAAAGCGCGACGAGGTGGAGGTCGAGACCACTTGAGCCTTTCCTTCGCCCGGTGCGTCGTCGATCGGCATGCCTTGAACAGCGGGGCGAGGCTGAGCTCCGAGTTGTTGGAGGGTGGCGGCGTCTTGAGAGTCCTCCATCTCATGAGGCAGAAGGCGGCGGGCGGAGCGGGGCTGGGCGGCCGCACGGGCTCGGGCAGGGGCGCGGCCGCACTGCCGCGGGGCTCCAGCTCCCGAGCGGGTGGCGTTCATCCCGCTGCCTCCCGGCGTCTCTCTCCGCTCGCTCCCCGGCTCTGGCCTCCGCGCTCCCACGCGCTCTCGCTCGCGCCTCCCCCTTCCCTGGGCTGCCGGCGCCGGATCAAATCTCATCGCTGTAAACAGCAACCGCTGCGCCCCTCGCGAGAACAAACAAGCCCCCCTCGCTGCCATTGGCCGCCGCCCCCTGGAGCCCCCGCCCCACCCACGTGCCGCCAGGAGAGTGGCCGAGCAGAGGTGCAGTGACGCGTGTCCCAAAGCGCCGGGTGCGGGGTGAGCCTACCCGCAGCGGTAGTACGAGTTAAAGACTCGAAGAGATTTTTGCCAGCACGCTTTCGTCCGGCAGACCTGTCCGTCCCACCCTCCTCAAAGGTGGGTGGGCTTAATGGACACCACCGATTAATGGGGGGGGGGGGGGGGGGGATGCTGATCTGGTGTAGGGGAGAAATCATCACGTTTTGGAATCTTCGAGGTCTGGGTTTGAAACCTGCCTCAGTCGCTTTGTTATTCTGTGATCTGGAAAGTTGCTAAGTCTATAAATCCCAGTTTTCTTCATCACTACAATGGTCACGAAAATGGGGTTTACCTCAAAGGCTTATGAGGTTTGCATGTGGTATTGCCGTCCACAAAGGTACTGAGTGGTAGGGACTGCACAGAGTGAGCCTCGAAAAAACCCTTTACTATGCGGAAAAGATGGTCAGGTAAAGTTCAAGCAAGAAATTTTCCAAAATAGAAGTCACAGTAAAGGATGCAGTCCCTATCTATGCTTAAGCATTTCAACTAGGGTAATTACTCAAAATTTGGGGGCTTCCGTGAAGGATGCAAAAATGGGAATCCAGCCTTTCATCAGGAGAGATATCCACTGTTTACCGGGCATCAGAAACGTGCCAGGAGCATGCCAGCTGTTGTGTGGATTAGAACAATCTGGGAACAAGATGAGTCAGAGAATGGTACCATGTTTTAACAAGACTTTACCTATGAGAATTGATGGGGTGGATCCAGATCTCCATTTTGTAGCCTCCTAGGAAAGTAAGTTCTTGCTAGATGTGTGTGTCCACAAACCATCCTAGACAAAATGTGTCTTAAGGCATATAAAAAAAGTGCTATGGGTTTCTTAGGAGGAACAGTTTATATTCTGGCTGTTGGGACCTTTGCTTGATAAAAGGGGCAGTATTTGAAATGGATCTGAAATCCCATTGGTAGATAGTCCAATTGGTAGATAGGCCATAGTGGATAGAAATAGAAGGAAAGGACATTCAAGGCAGAGTGAGTAGCGTGAACAAAGGCACAGTACCAGGAAAGCACACGGACTCTGTAATGGATCCATTAGGATTCTTTAAAAACATGCAGAATCCCAACAGGGACCGGGCTTACTGAACCAGAATATCAAAGTATGAGACTCAGGAATCTGAGACCCATTCACACTCATGATTCATACACAAGCGCTCTGTAGCAGGGCCAGGACTGGATGAGGCCAGGAAGGTGCCTTGGGCACAAAATGCAAGGAGATGCTCCCCTGCAGGATCCAGAGAGTGGCTGCCTTCTTCAATTTTGCACCCTAGGTGTCTCATTCGCCTCATTCAAGGCCCAGCCCTGCTCCGCAGGTCAGTATTTGAAAGATATGGGTCCAGTTGTTCTCCACTCTGGCTCGACAGTGGACTTAATTAACAAGGGTGTATGGCAGCTTAAAAATGTGGCTACAGATTCATTGACACGCTTCCTATAGAGAGGCGGGTCCCCTCCCCTGAAGGTTCCTGCCTGCTTCGGTGAATAAAATGCAGCAGAAGCAATGCTATGTGCCTTCTGAGGCTAAGTGTGTAAAAGGCCCCAAGATTCCACCTTTTCCAGCGGACTCTTTGCTCCTGTGCTTCCTGTGGGAGATCTCACTACCCTGAGCCACCACGCTTTGAGGAGGCTATATGGAGAAACATATGTAGACACCCTGGCCAAGAGTACCAGCTGAGCCCAGCCTCTGATGCATCCCAGCCTAATCAGCAAAAAAAGTAAATAGAGAAGCCTCCAGATAATTCCAGCACCTACCTATTTGATACACGCCAGATGGATGCCTGTGCTTCACCCCCCAGAATCATATTCAGTTAGCATAGTGCGGGCCTTGGGCCTCAGTGGGTTTTTTTTTTTTTTTGGGGGGGGGGGGTTGTGTTTTTTTTTAAAGCATCACCTGTAATTTTGATCTGCAGCTAGGATTGAGAACCACTGAGGTGGTCTCTACGCATAGGAAAACAATAGAATAAAACATCAGAAGATAGATAAAGGTCATCAAGTGAAGACACTTGAAGTCCAGGGGTAGAATTCTGGACTTCATTAGGGAGGGAGTTAGAGACATTAGATTAATCAGGGTGGATGTTAATTGGAGCTGTGCTTGAGAAACATTAATCTGGTGTCGTTGTGTGCTTTTACCTTATTAACGGCAAATCTCATTATCTGAACTGCTGGAATAGCCCCTTCCCTTTGCCAACTGCTCACCAAAAGAAAAGACAAAATCATAAAAAACAGACTGTCCAACTCATCAAATGGGCACTGGTCTTCAAATTACTGTAAAAGAAAAAACCAGAAAGAAAGGAGGAGCGGTGCTGCTCAAGAACATCAAGCTACAAAGTTTAGGAAAATATGATGTAATTCCTGCCATGCGTGGAGGAGTGAACAGATTTTTCTGCAACAAGTTGAAGTCTGGACCCTGTAACCCAAGCTGTGGGTCCCTCAGCCCTTAAATTCAGCCCTGCAAGTGTTAATACTTTGATGTCAACCCCACAGTAACAAGAGCAGGTGACAAACAAGAAGACATTCTCCATTTATACATGAAAAATAGGAGAGTAATCAGTAATCATCACTCAAAACCAGGGAGCTATTTGTAACACTTCAGTAAGAATATTCCTTTTACCTTTGCCAACCCCAGTGATATTTTCTGTACCTGTGGCTTTGCTTATTTCCTCTAATGGGCTGCAAAGAAGAAATATAAATTATTAACCTACCAACCAGTCATTAATTTTTTTTATGATTTCAGCATCCACATCATAATGCTATAGCTGACTTCTTTTTTTAATGGAAATGTCATGTTCATAGAAGGCTCCAGTAGAAATGGATGGCAATTAGATTCCCATTCACAGCCAAATTCAATAGGCTCTACAAAGTGGTAACCAAACATATTTTTAGTTGTTTTTTTTTTTTAATGTAGAAAGCATGCATTTTTGAAAACTGTTTTCACACATCATTTTTCTGAAACACAGATGCTTCCCTGCTGTATGTAGTATCAGTTACAAATGGAGACAGCCGACTTGGGGGAGGAAATGCATCTCCTTACCAAATCTTTGTAGCTAGATCCTGGGGGAAAGAAAAAGAATTGTAATTCTAGATTCCAGCTCTCAGGCTTCTTATGATAAGACATTGACACGAAAGTATTTCTGGCATTTCAGGAGATGATCGCAGTGCAGGAACGTATTGTATTTCAATCCATCTCTGTTTCACAGAGGAACTGTTATCTAAGCATTTCAGACAGCCAGGAATCTATCTTATTTATAGTCTAAAAATTCTGTGGAAGGTTGCTCTTTGGAGCAATGGTTCAGAATCCTTCCAGTCTGTTCAGTGGACGTTTTCATTGCTTTGGCAGCCTAAGATCCAAACCTTCTTCCTTATCGAAGGTCATGTCTCCATGGTGAGGATCCTGATCAGAGGCAGGATGCATCTCTTCTGAGGAAGGAAGATGGTCCCAGGGGACAGGGACAGATCACAGACCTGTCAGCAGAGACAGATGTGGACTCAGTTGACAGGATGCTTTGCTTGGGACTTTAAGTCTACAAGGGACATGATGGGAATTTTATTAATGGTGATAGACAAAAGCCACACAGTGTTGAGTGACCACAATGTCAGCAGAGCCCCTGAAGACAACTTAACCATATGATAAGGGAATTTGACTGTGGTTTTGGTAGCCTTGATCTCCAGCTTTCCCATCCACTTCCCATAAGACCAGGCATCCTTCAAAAATTTTCTTTTCTGTTTTACATTGCTCAGCTAGTGTGTGTATGCAAACATTTAAGTTCTATTCTCTTAGAAAACTCCAATGATATAACACAGTGTTATCAACTATAATTCCTTTGTTTTACATTAGCTCTTCATTTCTTCATCCTGTAGCTAAAAATTTGTACCCGTTAACCCAACTCCCCCTACCTCCCCTCTCCTTTGCAGCCTTTGGCACCTACTCTTCCACTCTCTGTTTCTTTGAGTTCAACATGTTTTCTTTTTCAGGCTCCAATATAAGTGATACCATGCAGTATCATCTGTCTCTGTCTGGTTTATTTCACTTAGCATAATGCCCTCAAGGCTCAGCCGTGTGGTCTCAACTGACAGGATTTCCTTCTTTCTCATGGTGAATAATATTCCATTTATATCTCTATACCACATCTTCTTTATCCATTCATCCATCAGTAGATGCTTAGGTTGTTTTCACATCTTGGCTACTGTGAATAATGCTATAAGGAACATAGGAGTGCAGACACCTCTTCAAGATCCTATTTTCATTTCGTTTGGAAATATACCGTGAAGTGGGATAATTGGATCTTTTGGTAGTTCTATTTTTAATTTTTGAGCGAGCTCCATACTTTTTCCCATGGTGGCTACACTATGTAAAAGTGCATTAGAAAACTCTGAAAAGTTACTAAGAGTTAGTTTTTGATGTTTGAACTATGACAAATTCAATCTAAATTTCTTCTGTTACAGAGAGCCATTTGTGAAGTCATTGGGGAAAACATCGGCTAGAAAAAAATAATTCTACTCAGACATTTGTTTAATGTCTGCTTCATGTGAGGCAACTGACAGGCAGAGCTGGGGAAATGTTGAGAAAGGCTGGCCCTTGCCCTTGCGAAACGTATGCAACTTAAAGAGACATTTTTATAATGGATAATTTTAAAGCAGTGAGACAAGAGTTAACACCAGAGGTTGGCAGTGAGCACAGAGAGAGGACAGCGGAGGGCACAGCTCCCTGTTAATACCTATTCTGCATGGCCATTTATGTAACTGTAGATGGCAAAATTAGGACTCAGAAATAGTAAGTACCATGGGCCAAAAATGATTAACAAATAATGGCTATTTTCCTACAAGCTATTTTACCCTGGGGATTTTTTTTTTCTGTTATACTATTGTGTGAGTAAAATAAAGTTGCCATCTATTGGTTTAATTGACTTACTCTTCTGTACAAACAAGGTTGAGGTATTGCGTGCAAGGGGTTGAGTAAACACTAGGCACAGAGAAAGTGCTCAGCAAAGATAATCATTGTTATCCCCACCAGCACCACTACCTTGCAAGCATGTTGGAAGGACCAGAGAGACTTCACATAAAATGTATGGTAGGATGTCCAGCACATAAGGGCATTATAAACATAAAAAACAAAATTCAACTGAGTAAATTTGAAGATCAACTAATTCTTCAACTGGGCAGTATC